AACAAATAGCTGTTTTAAAAATTACCGGCCTCGGCTGATTTCAGATAATATTCAAATGCTTTATCCTTTTTCACTTTGATCCCAATCCCTAAATAATAACAAGATCCAACATAATACATTCCATTGGAATTATTCATATTTGCAGATTCTTGATAATAAATAAATGCCTTGTTTTCATCCTTTTCAATTCCAATTCCATGTTCATAACAATAACCGAGCCAGAATATTTCTTCAGGATCATTCTGATTTGCTAATTTCTGACAATCAACTAAATTCAGTTGATTAAAAGAATTGGTGATTTGAGTTATTTCATTTAAATTAATATCTTTTGACATTTTAGTTACAAAGCAATTATGATTCAAAAAAAAAAAAAAAACCACGTTAAGTACGTACGTAGCACACTTGCTGTATGGCACTAAATTTATCTAATGATTATTTTAAAGTCATTCGAAATTAAATTTTAAGCATTTAAGTGATTTTAAAAATAAATCTATAGATAGGAGACGAACTGTCCAGCAGTTCTAGAAAGCTTGTACGTACGTATGTACGTAAATTTTAAATATCCCTGATACTTATGCACATATGTACAGTAAATGCACCTAATAAAAATCTCAATTTTACTGTGATTACTTTATCAGGATCACAGCGTATTGCGTAGTAAAAAATACTTTAACTTGGAAATTGGAATGTAATTATTATTGATTTAGTTAAACGATAAACGATCATTTATTAAAAAACTTCAAAGAAATATAAAGATTTATTAAAAGCTCAAAACAGTATTCTGGTTCTTCAAAAAATTTCATTCGCAAAAACTTATTCAATGAGATTTTACATAATGGTAATATTGCAAACCTTTAATAGCTTTGATAAAAATTAAAGCGATCAAATAAAAAAAAATTTTTTTTATGTAATATCTAATAAATTCGAATTTATATACTGTCTTTTTTTTAAAAAAAAAAAAAAATTCTCTGCTGAAATTAAAATCAACCAATCAAGCAATATTTTCAGTTTCAGCATCGGACGTTAATGTTTTAAAAAAGGGTTAAACCAAAAAAAAACGTTTAAAAAACTGTTTATCCCGTTTTTTTTACCAACCCTAGCAGTAAGCCGAAAAGATCTATTTTATTCCTGAGTACATTTAATGATAAATCAATTTTCGTAACGGTTGCGTAAAAATAAAAGAACGACTAGTAATCAGTTCGAAATCGCTTACATAGAATCATCCGAGTCTAATTCACATTATCACTTCACTAATTTAGGGCGTTCTCAAGCGCCTCAATTAATGGTCAAAGTATGTCAAAATATCAGATATGTCGTGAATTAAATTTTAATTAAACGGAAAGTATTTTTAATCGATCAATCAAGCTTGTCATTAATATAAGTAAGGTAGTTATTACTGTATCATGTGAAAGAAAAAAAAAACTTTTTGCCAAACCACTTTTTTTTCGCTGACTTATCAAAACTTTATAAATATTAAAGTGAATAAGTATTGCTCAATGTTTCACACTTTATTATGGATTTTCATTATAGACACATTTTTTGTAAAATTTTCGATAAACTATTTAGTGAAATCAAGCATCACTACAATTATTAGGAAATCGCAGTGATAATTTTAGTGTATATCTCAATAATATAGTCATTCGTATCATTGACTTTTATCCAAAATGTTATGACAATAGCTAAAATTTACGTCATAATACTTGTGCTCGCTATGAAATCGCATCTAGGTTGATGTTGAGAACAACGTTAGACAGCAACAAGTATTGCGGCTGAAATCACTGTTCAAAATTTAAAATGTTTCATTCTGGCTGGAACACCAACCTTGATATAAGCCTCCAAAAATAAACCAATTCATGAAGAATTGTAATAAGATCTTTTTTTTGGAAATAAAAAAACGAAGAATGGGTTGCTAACCTTGTAAAGGAAATCTAGATTGTTTAAATCATGTATTATGATAAAGAAGACTAAAGAGAAACAAGACTCGATATGAAAGACTAGGATGTGGATAGTCTAGTGACCAATTAGATTATTATGATTCGGGACGTTACGATTAAAACTTGACTTTATTTTTCTTTAGTATATTAAGCGTTAGTATTAAAGCTTGTATGAAGCGGTGTGAATGTTAACAAAGACTAACGTGATGACAAGATGCCATTAATGTAATATACTAGTTCCGGAAAAAGTATTCTTTCATACTAATTAATTAAAATGTATAAAAACGAGGCATGGACTTTAATAGAGGGGAATTCCAATCTCATCATAAAGTAGTATAGTAATCTATCATTAATCATAATCAGTTTTGTACCTGATCTTGACATAATAGCAATCAAAATTGGATTACTACTATGTTAAATTAGGTGTGCAAAATTGATTATACTTGTGTGAGATGTTATAAAGTAACGGCTGCGTGCTTCTCTATTTTGACTGGTGGTCATATCGAGGAATAACACTAAGTCGAGTGATAGCCAGACAAGGTCTCCGGGTACGTACGTAACATGTGCATAAACTTGTAGAAAACGATTGTATTGCTATTTTAGTAGTAGATCGGGGTTTTCAATATATAGAGACTCAACGAAATAATTATTGCTTAAACAGACATTTTATAATATTTGCCATCTAATGCTAACTTAGAAGACTTACATGAATTAAAGTCGTTATATTACTCTTATGATCTATATGATTGATATTACTTTGTGCAACTATCCGTCTTTTAGAACATATAAGTTCTAAGCGATTTTTAGAGCACTCTCAAACCTCATTCTCGACGTGATTAGCTAGTGATCGCAGTTACAATTATATTTATATAAAATTTTTGTTGGAAACTTGAATATGCAAATAATGATGTAATTTAGTTGTTTTCTCAAACATATCTTCGATGTGATCGTAACGATGCTCATTTAATATAATCAATCAAAATAAGATTGCAGTTCTTATTATTATTTTATTTATAATTCTATTTATCAAATCTCATCGTCGAATCCATTAGTTTAGGTCTTCGTCGATATACCAAATGAAGAAATTATTGATGGAACTGTTGAATTTTTGTTATGTGAGTAAAGGCTAAGAGATGGTAAGCTTCTGCTATTTCTTTTTTGGGCTTCCTCATTTTTTTATCTTCCATGAAAAACTTTTTGTATAAGGTGTAAGAACGAAGAGTTACTTGTGTGATCTCTTTGAATACTCGATTAATTGAAAATTTTGTCAAGCCAGGGATGAAAAAAAGATGTTTGTTGTAAAAATGCCCAAAATTTTGAATTATGTAATAAACTATCTTGTTGAGTGATGGCAAAAAAAAATCGCGACCATGCTGCAAAAAGGGACCAAATTGACAAAACAAAAGATCATCGGAAAATCAATTTTTGTTATAAATCTTATAATAAACATAAGAAATTGCAAACTTTAAAGAGCAATACTGCAAAATTTTATCAATACAACTACTTTCGTGTCTTAAGTAAAAAATGATCCTAATCTTATTCTAAATTGATTTATGCAAAAAAATATCTTTTGAAAAATTGTCAATTTGGTCCCTTTTTGCAGCACCAAGCCCATGTGATCGCCGACATTTCCGAAACCCTTCGGAAGCCATATACAAAATTTATGCAACTTTGAATGAATCAAAAATCAGACAATATATATTAAATTTATATTATTTAACAGTTATATAATCAATATCGATATCGTAATTAATTGATATATACATAGCGAAATTAAATCGTTAGATTACAAGTTAATAAATCAATATAATAAACGTACGAACATGTAAAGGCAAAAATTTATTTAGATTATGAAATTAATTAGTTTGATTTCACATAATGTATCGATATCGATATGTAAAATGAAATATTTTCTATATTAATTCTAACCGGGAAAAGTGAAAAAGGATAAAGCATTTGAATATTATCTGAAATCAGCCGAGGCCGGTAATTTTTAAAACAGCTATTTGTTACAGATATGGAATTGGTGTAGTAGAGGATTATGATGATAAATTTAATTTTAAAATCAGATTTCTTAGAACTAATTTAATCTTTAGGAGTAAAGTAAACCGAACAATGCGTTTAGACTAAAGTCTTGCAAGAAGCTTTAAATCTACATACGTATTGAGTAAAAATTAAATTCTCTTAACATTCAAATTAATGTTAATTACATAAAGTCTTTTTTTTATATCATACTAAAATGACAAATTAATAATATTGTAATAATAATATCTTGGGTCATTGGGTATTAGTGGATTGTTCCCAGACAGTGATTAACGACTAATACTGATCGGCCGCGTAAGTGAGCGGCGATTAATACAGTGAAACCTCTATAAATGCACCCTCTATAAAATGCACGCCTTCTCTAAATGCAAGCGCGTTTATGGTGTATTAGGTTGACATGTGACAACCTTGCCCAATCAGCAACTAGAAAGCATTGTCCAATCAAAAGTTTGGGAAATTAGATAAATGTACAAAATTACACGCATCTTTTCTTTTGTAATAAACATGGCGGATACCGAATTAGAAATAGAATATGAAAATGGGTCGTCTAACGTTCAGGAAACAATCTTTACAGACATCACAATAGAGGAACAGAATAGTGAGCCTATTTTATCTAAAAAAGAATTATACGCATGGTAAAAAAAAAAAAAAAAAAAATTATTATTATGCAGATAGAGTCGGGCAGATATTTTAAAATTATTAGCTTCTAATGGTTTCTCTAGATTCACAATTTGTTCTATCTAACTTAAAAGAATTATAAAAAAAAACTACTGAGTAATTACTAGAATTTCTTTAGAGCTTCGCAATAAAAAAAAAAAAAAATAATAATAATATTAGAATACCAGCCTTTTTCTGTCTGAAGACATCTTACGCATATCATTTTAACTAAATATATTATTAAATATTTATTTAGGTACCTTTACGCATTTGCTTGCGAAGTCTATTCAGTTGTATCATTATCAAGCTTTATACCATTGATCTTGGAACAATTCGCTTCAGAACAAGGTTTTCTCAATATTAATCATGAGATCGCTTGCAAAAACTCTACTGAACTTAAGGCTTTTGAAGAAGTACGCTGTGTTGTCAACATTTTTGGATTATGGGTTGATACTGCCTCGTTTAGCTTATACACTTTTTCATTTAGTGTAATTCTACAAGCAATTACCGCCATATCTATCGGTGCAACGGCTGATCACGGTGCAATGCGCAAAACTTTATTAATAATTTTTGCTTTGGTTGGGAGTGTGTCTGCAATGTTATTCTTGCTGGTCACTCCTCCCATGTTCTTACTAGTTGCGATAATTGCAATTATAGGAAATATCTGTTTTGGAGCTTCTTTTGTTTGTTTCAATGGTTTTTTACCAGTTTTGGCGAGAAATCATCAAGATGTAAGAAATATTTCTGACAAAATAAAATTACACATCGCTGAAAAAAAAAAATTATCAAATGATCAACAACTTTCTTATTCTGATGATGATGATAATATTAATGATCAATCAACTACTGGACTTTTACATATTGACAATGATTCTGATATTATATTATCTAATCTTTTGGATAACGATATTATATTATCTAATCTTTTGGATAATTTGGCAAAAACAAAAGAATTTATTTCTACTCACATATCTGCACGTGGTTTTGCATCTGGTTATTTTGGTGGTATAATTCTTTTATGCATTTGTTTTATTATCTCATTTATTTTACACTCCTCTGTATTTAGCCTTCAAATCGGTGTTTTTTTATCCGGAACATGGTGGTTTTTATTTTCTTTACTTGTTGCTAAATGGCTGCAACCAAGACCTGGTCCTCCTTTATCTTTAGATAAGGGAAGAAAAATTAGATGGTTTGATTATGTTATATATGCATGGAAACAGTTGTGGATGACCATTTTGCAAGCAAGAAAATTGGAAATGACTTTTAAATTCTTGATCGCTTGGTTTTTCATATCTGATGGTAAATTGTTTTGATTAACTAAAAAAAATTTGTTAATTTATGAGATCATCATAATTATTTATGCTTTTTGATTTTTGATTACTATGTAGGATATACCACAATAACTTCGGTGGCATTATTATTTGCTAAAACAACGTTACAAGTTCCAGCTGTGGGTTTAATTGCCATTTCCTTGATAGTTCCATTATCAGCTCTATTTGGAACAATCATGGTGCCAAAATTTCAGTCATATTTCAGGCTGACAACAAAGCAAACCGTTATATTTTTAAATGTTTTATTATTATGTATTCCTTTTTATGGTTGTTTGGGTTTTATTTTACCATTTGGTGGTCTAAAATCCGGTACAGAACTTTATTATTTTGCTGTCTGGTTTGGGATAGTAATCGGTTCTATTCAAAGTTATTGCAGAACTTTGTTTAGTGAATTGGTTCCTCGCGGTAGAGAAACCGAATTTTTTGCTTTGTATGCGGTTACTGATAAAGGTTCAAGCTGGTTAGGTCCGACTTTAGTTGCCATCATTACGGGTATGTCCAATTTGTTCATTCTTGTGATATTACATATCGTATCTAATTCTTTTTTTTTTTCTATAGATATTACGCACGAAATTCGATTTGGATTTGTATTATTATTTTTCCTTGTTCTAACGCCTATACCTATTCTTTTGTCTTTGAATGTTTCTAAAGGAAAAGAAGATGCCGATAAGGCTTCCAATAAACATTCAATTGTCATTTGATGAACTGGCGATCAGAGATATGAACATAAATTAATGTGAATTCAAACCAAATTAAGAACGAACGTCTGCTACATTACAATTATTATAATTACATTAGCTCTACATTACAATTATTATAATTGTATTAGCCCTACATTACAATTATTATAATTGTATTAGCTCTACGCGCTATTTACCTAAATTTTTCTGTTAATTCCAAATTCAAGGCTAATCGATTGATGAAAATAAACAGACATCATATCGAAGAGCATTAAAAAATATGCTGATAAGATAATAATATCATAGGAATTTATTAATTCTATTATAGTATTTTAGAGTTCAATATTTATTACACAGAAACTTCTTATCGTCGCTTGCCAAGTTATTTCAAGCAAGTTATATATCTGTATTATTTTATATCTTTGTAACTATATTAATAATCTCTTACTCTAAATAAATTTGTACTATACTGTATATTATGAATTTTATATAATATTTTAAAAAAAATAATTCAGATTATCATAGGTGGTCCAAATAATTTTGTAATTTTTATTATCGTAGCTTTAATATATTGTAGCTTACTAAATATGTTTTTTGCCTGTTATATAATAAACAAAACAACCTAAGATGTTTTACCATTTATGTCGCATTACCTTAATTAATTAATATACGATGCTCCAAGTAAAAATGCTCTACGTCTCCAAAACCCCTAATTCTAATCCTAAATACTAACCCTAACATTAAAGTACTTTTTTAAAATAAAAGTTATTAATAAATTTAAATAAAACTTAAATTTTAGTTTTAGAAATATGTTTTTTATTATATAATATTTTTACTTAGTAGCTATTTTTATTTATATATAATGTGATCACTTTTGTTCAATTTTGATTAATTAATCAACTAATATTTATTTGTTATATTTAATAGTAAATAACTTTTAATTTATTAATTTAATTTTTAATAGGCTTAAGATTATTAAAAGCTAATTACAAAATTCTAAAAATTATTAAGATTTTTTGTACTATTTTAAGTATTTAAAATTAGTTAATCAATTTTAAAATATCTAAAAAAATGTAAGAAATTTTAGTAATTTTAGAATTTTGTGATATTATAAACTTATCAAATTATTTATAAAATAAATACAGTATTAAATAGTTCTAAATAAATTAAAAATTAAGTTATTGCTATTAAAAATTCTTTTATCTTTAATAATAATTTCAAAATTTACTATTTATATATATTGTATATACTTTTTATTTTAAAAAAAATTATTTAACCAATTATATGATTTTTTTAATCCGTCTATATAAGGTAAAATATTTAATTTTGAGATATTTAAATTACAATAAGCTTTAGTTATTGTCTATTAAATAGTTTGTCGAAAGATTTTATACCAAACTGCTATACGTTTATAAACTGCTTATTTAAACTCTTTAATTTATAACTTTTATATATAATCTAGTTTTATAGCTCTATACTATCTGGCTAGTTTTTCAACTATCCAAGTATGAGGTTTATTTAGAATCTTACTTCTAAAAGAAATAGCTTGAAACTAGATTAGAAAAGTGTATTAAATATTTTAGTAAACTACTCTAAAATACTATACTTAAAAAATAGCCTAATATATAGCTCTATTTTATTAAAGTTCTTTTTTTTAATTAACAAATAAAATAAAAAACTATGAAAACCTAAAATCTACCGACATAGTAGTATATACAGTATATTTAATCAAACCCCAAAAAAGTACATATAACTTGATAATTAAATTATCTTTTCTAATTTTTTTCTTTTTTTTAAAAAAAAAACAAAAATGCTAAATACATATAACCTTTCAACAAGTTTATTATTGTGGTAAGTATATTTTTGTAATATTTTTAGACATTAAAGAGTTAAATTTTTAAAATGATTTGTTAATTTTGTAATATAGAAAAATCAAAAATACGACTAGTATATATTGCATCTTCATGAATCAAATCTTTAGATAATTTTTTGTTATCAATTTCCCTTTTTATTGTTTTCCATCTTTTCTCTTCAGCTAAGCCAAAATTATTTGAAATTTCAGAAGGATTGGGATCATCACAAATTGCATGAATCCAATTTCCCAATTCTTCGTATAATTGAAATGCAGTTGGTCTGTTTTCTGGTAATCGATCCCAGCATTTACTCATTAAACTAAAATATTCTTCAGGAATTTCAGATCTGAGCTCCTCACTTATCTCAGGACGCAAATTCTCGTAACAAATTTCATAAGTCAACTGTAAATCGTGTGCCCTATTGCAATGTGGCCTCAAACCAGTTGCTAAAACCCACATAATTATTCCAAAACTATAGATATCTGAAGCTTGGTTTGGTGATTGGTTTCCCAGTATCACCTGAGGGTCGATAAAAGGCAAGACCCCAATTATTTTATCAGAAGAGATCGATTGGTATGCAGGTCCATTGAGTCCAACATCGGCGATTTTTGCATCGGTAGATATTGTATCATCCTCAATAAGGAGATTTCCACCATGTAAATTTGAATGAAAAAGGCCTTCAGAATGAATTCTTTCAAGACCACCAGCAATTCCCCAAAGCATGTCAACCATATCTCTCCAGCTAATTATTCCTTTGTTACTGTCAAGGTAATCATAAAGATTACCGTTTTCATAGTATCGCATAACAAACATGAAGCAGCCAGTTTCATCCCTCGTTATTCCGAAACAGTCTGCCATAGAACCACTTTGTAGGCAACGATGATATGTTTCAAGCTACGAATAGGAAGAAAATAGCAGAGGTGAATGAATGAAAATCTTACAATTATGAACTTCAAATATATGTACCCATACATACCTGCTTAAAAAAGGTCATAGAGGGTTCTTGCGAATCATCAAGTTTTTTAAGAGCTACTTTGGTCGGACCATTGCGGCACCATGCAGCACTAACTTCGTCCCACACCCATCGTGGCCCTTCCATCCAATACCCTTCATACACACTGCCAAAACCACCCTTAGCGACATATTCGAACCCCTCAATATTGCCAAAATCTATAAACTCCAAGTAATCACAAGTGCGTGTTGCATTCTTTTGCGTTTGCAAAATTAATAGGTCAATATATTTATTTCCACTTTTTAAGAACGCTGAGTTCATCCAACGGAATTCACAAGGATTACACCATCCAGACGGTCTTATGCGGCCACATTCAGGACAATTTATATCAATTTCTGCGCCATCACTTTGGTTCATTGAAAATGTTCTTTGATTCTAACTTTAATCAATAATAATGAAAATTTTGAGAGTTGTGAGAGAAAGCATCGTAAAGCCTAAATTTATAAACAAATTTTTTTTTTTATATTGTACTTATTAATTTTAATTTATACGACTATCGCTATGCCATTTTTATGTAACATCAACAGTAGATCTTAATTTTTAATTTTTTATTGTGATTACTTTTTTTGTAAGTTGCATTTATTTGTAATATATATCTGGTTTGAAACATCGCAAAAAACAAGGGTAAAAATATTAAGATGAACAAGCTAAGTTTATATTTATTCTAGCGAAATGTCTTAAAAAAGAAGGCCGAAATAGCTGCAAAATTGTTAAAAAATAATTAATTCTAATTAACCAGTTATAAAAATCTTAAAAGGAAAATTCAAAAACCATATTGGAAAGCAGTATCACGTAATACAAAAGAGCTAATTTAGATTGTAATAACAAATTAAAGAATAGTATCAAATATGCACTAGTTCATATGATGGCAACCGTTTTCGTATCACGCTTACCAATTTTTATAATTTTAGTCTTTAATTCTTCATACTAAACAAGCAATTTAATTTAACATTTATGAAATAATTAAACTCTATGTTTGTTTTTAAAAAGATCTTGCATGTGTATGCCATCTTACACGTTTTTATTATTCATTTCGATCCATATACCTTTTGTAAGCATTGACATTCATATAGTTTAATTTAATTGATTATTCTGGATACCCATGTAATAACGTATTGATTTTGTTTTCGTTACAAAAATATAAGTCGCGTGACTCGGTTATAATCGTCCTCCGCACTCCGATTGTTGCACCAAATTAGGGTATCTCCGAAAATTAGAGTTTTTTCTCCAAATATATATTTTGAATGTAAATGTATCTTATTGGTGTTTCCATTTCAAGAAATTATTTGTAGTTTACGTATTTCAATAAACAAGAAATGCAAACACAGCATTTAATAGAAAAATTTCGGGGCGAACGAGCCAAATATTGACATTAGCCCGCTATGAATACTATAAATTTTATCTGCCCTCTTCCCTTAAAAATGAATCAAAATTACGTAGTTAAATGCTATGTAAATCAAACAACACACACACTTTATAGTTTGCCTGTAGCCAACTACAGTTTTTTACATTGTTTCATTAAATCCTATTTCAAACTTTGACCGACATGGTTGGGGTTTGCCAATCCCCAAAAAATTAAACAAATGCCCTATAAAATTTCAATTATGAACCACAATATCATTTTTTTCACATCCATTTAATTAGGTTTAATTGATTGCTTGGCATTATTTATTCCAAAAAAATATTGTTTTCTTGAATTTTGTTCTCGATGGCAATTCAGTTCGTGTAACATTACGTACCGTTGACCTTGAACTACCTCTTTTAAAACTATACCTATTTTAGTAATTGGATGCTTCTTATATGCTAACTAATGGCAGAAATCTTTTTTCTTTTTCCGAAAGTTTCGGTTCATCATAATTTAAGTTTCGGGTTCCCGAAATCGACACCACTGTATTCTAGGTCCCTTACAATAGTAACCCACCTTAAAATTATACCAGTCTATAAAATTGATCAAGACATTGATAGAATATAGTTGTATGTGCAATTTTATTTCAGCCAATCGTGGATTGTTATTATTATTGCCTAAATACGGTAATAGACTATGTAAAAAAAACAATTTTTACACGGCCGACACACAGGTATTAGAAGACTTAAAATTGTAGACCCAGATCTTGCTTACAATCTTTTACGGTATATATGTGTTTTATATTAGTATTTCTAAATTGGTTTTGAATAAATTTCACTTAGAAGACATATAATGCTAACAAATATCTTGTTAATTAAAATTATAAAAAACATACTGTATTACTCTAAATACTTCTTGTAGAGACCAAATTTTTAGCAACATGATTTAAAAAACTATAAAATATATAAAATCAAGTATATTTGAAAAATTTTAAAAATATACTGTATTAAAAGAACACTATATAGTTTTTTTAATTAGGGTTGGAGGTCCGGTCCAGTCAGTCTCGGTCTCGGTCTCTAATAAAACTGGTCCTGGTCTCAAAAATAAACTATTTTCACGAAGGTAGTTTATCATTTTTAGCTATCATTATCGAGTATAGTTTATTATTAACCAGTCTGAACTGATTAAAAGACTGAAAACCGAAGAACCTTGTAACCGGTTGAAAAGACTGGTTCTTGTCCGGTCTTCTCAGGACCGACCCAACCCTATTTTTAATTTAAATTTTTTCTATAATAAAGACTTAGATTTAATCAAAAACTATAGTAAATACACTTATTCATTTTTTTTTTTTTACGTTAAAGGTAAACCTTTGCTTTTATTTTTATTAATCTTATTAATAAATCATTTTGAAAAGGTTTTATTTTTTAAGCCTATTACTAAGAATAAGAACTCAAACATACTGTATATTTTAAGTAGCTTAAATCTTATTTATTGTCGTGGCTGAACTGGAAATGGCTGATGCTGGAAATTTTAATTATTTTAATATGAAATTTACAAAAATTTTTTGGGCCTTTTGTTAGGGGGTTTTTTTTAGGGTTAGGTTAGGGTTTAGTAGTAGTTTTAATAATAAAAGAGTATAAGTGGATTTTGGTAGGGTTTTTATTTTTAAATCAAGGTCCCTAATTTCCAGCTTCAGCCGCGACAATAATTATTATACTCAAGGATTATTTCAAAGCAAACTAGAAATCAAGTTAGAAATGATATCAACGAATATAGTAACAATTTAAGACTACTTTTGCGTTCATAAAACGATTAATCCATCATATTTACCTAATCACCGTAACTAGATGATCTCACAAAACAACCTAAGGCTACTTTTATGGTCATAAAACGATTAATCAATCGTTCCTTCGTAATCATCATAGTTTTGACGATCTCAAAAAGATTGCTCTTTGTGTTTATAGAACGAATACTTTCCACTTATTATTTGTTCATTTGATGAATTTAAATTTTTTTTAAAAAAACATCGGATTACTTTTGTTTATTAAAATTCTATTAACTGTAACATTAACTACTTTTGCAAAAATTTAATACATCTAGGGAAATAATGATCACTGCTAAAAACAAAAAAAAAACAATCACAATCAAGATCTTCATCTAGAACACCGAAAAAGCAATTGAAAAAAATTGGAGCATGAAAAAAAAAAAAAAAACTGATGTAAGTGCTTCGTCTGGGGCATACAACCAAAAAATTTCAGGAAGCTGGGCTAACCTCCATGTTGGCTGAATTATGAGAATATATAGTCGTAAAATTTTGAGACATTATTAATTAATCTAGAATATTCTATACAAAAATTTTTACGTACGTAAGTAAAATATTAACACGTTATATCATTACTGATAACTATTTATCAATCATAATCGACCTTGTACCCATTTTTGTTACCGAGTTCTAAATCTTTATGTTTCTTAAATTCTTTTAATTCTTCTAGATCTTTAGAAACTTTGGATTTTCTTAGACCGTATTCATGCCATTGAAAACGCCATTTATTTCCAAACAGAGATATTCCGTTTATACCACTTGTATTGTTTCTTTGTAATTTACGATTTAAATTATTCAATCGATGGTTTGTTTCTTGTAAATTACAAATTCGATTATCCATACTTTCACGATTAATGTGGCCAACCATTTTAAATTTAGTGATCATACGATGGAAATAAACATTTTTTCCGTTAATTCTAGCACCGACGTAGTATTTGCCTTCAATTTTATGAACATTCCATACGTGTTTTCTAATATGTTTATAATTTTTCATATCACAAAGAAAAGTGATTCCATCTAATTGAGTTTTGACTTCAAGGAAAGTTTCACCTTTAACAGATACAAAACGAGTTTGGTTGTAAACTTTTTTGTTATTTAAACTATGTTCCCACTTAGAGAGGACTTTGAAAGACGAGAAAATTTCATTCCAATAAGACATATTGAAAGTCTTTTAATGAACTAATTTAATTAGAGGAAATGTTCTTGTTTATCTTCAAAATCAAGAAGAAAGAAAACGGTGAATAATGAATGAACGAGAAAAATTCGTGGATCTGTCGATCCGATATACTTTTTAATTATAAATCACGAATTACGTCATTATTCATTGTTAATTCTCGAAAGTCACTCTCGCATTTGTCACAATGGTGCTATAGTCACATTTTCCATTGTACTGTACTGTACGTAAATCTTTGCTTGTTATTGTATTAATGGGACGTATTGTATTTATGAATAATTTTAATTTAACAATAATGAACAAAGAAGGTAAGGCTTATAATCTGTTACCCAGTTAGTAAGTTGGCTAATTTTTTTTTTTTTTGAACATAAAATAGATACGTAACAAATATTGTACATTTAACGTTTTTCTTCTCCCATCATTGCACATAACTATAAATTTGACTAATTGAATAATTTTTTTATTATATAAATGAATTTGTATACGATAAAGAATTAATAGCTTTTACAGTATCAATAATTCTAATAACATAAAAAAAAAATATCGTGTAAACTTACTGCAATTTACTAATTTTATAGCCACTATTGGTTTAAAGAAACATAAAATTTTTGAAATCTTTAATTTATTATACTTTTTAGATTAATTTTTGCATATAAACTTTGCTGTTTTTATGTCAAAGTTTATTATTGTGAAATTACATTAATGAGTAATTAAATTTAGTCTAGTTTCTTTTTAGATTAGACTCGTATTACGTATTAATCAATTGAATATAGAGTAAGATCGTTATGGGCAAGAGATCTTTTCTTTTTATTCCAAGCATATTGACTTTTGTAGACTTTAAAAAGACTTGTACTACTAACAGTTTGTTAGAATTAATCCGATTAATGAAGAATTTTTATGCTGTATCTTACAGAAGTTATAGCGTTACCTAACATTACATTGCGCCAATTTATTCTAAAAGTTTAGAAAGAGTTATTCGACAGTGATAAATATGAAATAAAACCTTCAAACTCAGAATTTGCGCCATTTGGATGATTCATTGAATGGTATAGTGGAGATTTTCGATTAATATTTACGAATCCATGATATTCACAATCATTCATAATATTTACTAATAGTGGATATCCGAGTTCATAATCTTTTCCTTTTCCTTTTTTCTTGGTAGAGTTTTCAAGAATTGAATGAAAAGACCCATCTTCGTCACATATGATTAATTTTTTAGAATTATCTTTAAAAAATGAATTAAGACCCATATTAAGACTAAAACCCATATTATTCTTCCATTTTGCTTTCAGTAAGCGAGGTTTATTATCTTTCATATTAATGATGCTGCAATATAAACGTAAAAATAAATATATACTATAAATATAATTAATAAATGAATTTTAAAGAAAATGAAATTACCTGTAAGCTATTTTCAGAAGAGGAATTCCATCAATAATATTATCATTATTATGGCTAATGTCAAGGTTGCGGATAAATAGGCATGCTTTATTGTCTAGACGAAAGTGCGTGCCGATCACAATTGATGTATACGGGTTGTAAGAGCTAGATGATGTAGGGGAATGAATTACACTTATTCCTAATTTACTGCAAGTATTTGGATAAGTATCGATAGTGCATCTGTAAGAGTAATTATTGTTTGTATCAACTCTTTCCATTTCTTCAAGCCTTTTTTCACAAATAGTAACGTCGATTTCACTATTTCTTAGTTCAAATATAAACTTTTCTGGATAACCAACAATAATCCAACTAACTTTTATTTCGTAAGGTTGGTTTTGTTTTTTTTGTAGTTTCTTTTTGTTACCAACGTAATGAACAACAAATGCTGGAGAGTTTTCGTCTGCGTAATCAACTCGTAAAGAATATATGCGTTTGTCCTGGTTCATTATTGATGCGAAGATCTGACATTGAGATGGATTTGAAGTAAGGTCTCTAAATATATTACTTAAATCATCCACTATAATTGGCTCTGTACACTGAATTCGTAGTTTGGTATGATAGGTTGTTATTCCAGCTGTTTAAGCATCAATATGTTTTTGTTTTAATGATAATTTTATTTATTACAGTCTTTTTATTGAAATTTTTTTGACAAATCATTACCTTTAAGAATTTTTTTACCAAAAGTTTCCAAAATTTGATGTTTTAAGCTGTCATCTAGTAAATCAATTATTGGTCTTATATTGTAAGAAATTATTCTCCAATATTTAGAATTGTTAACTGAATTCCTCCATAACCTAATATCCTCATTATTATCCTCAATATAAGAAGCTTCATTTCCACCGACAATTGTTAACTTTTTTTTGAAATATCTAATAACTTCGATGTGATGTTTTGGAAATCATCATGAACCGTAAGAGTATTGGTGATTACACCCATGTCTACACCCGTTTTTACACCTATATCAGCTTTTTCGGAATCTTATTTATAGTTTAAAGTATAAATATTTTCTTGAATTTGATTAAATATATAAATACAAATAAAATGTAAATGATCACCTACCGCTTCTTCTCGTTTTAATATTCTTAGAATTCTCAATAATTGCTCCACCGTAAATAACTTCATTAGCATAAAAATAGCCATATTTTCGAAAAACTTTTCTAAGTTCATTAATTTTCCTACCATTCGTATACGTATTGTTTAATGCTGACTTTATTTCGTTAATGAAATCTTTATTCAATATGATATTCTGCTTATTAAGACTTAGCTTTGCCTGGCTTATAATCTCGCATGAATATTTTGTCGTTTCTTGACGGGATTTATAAAGTTCATTTGCTTGATCGTAAGAAATGCCGGCAAATAACGACAAATAAGGTAAATAAGGTAAAGAAGAAGTTGATGCTATTTCTCCATTTACAATAAGACATTCTTTAAATAAGCTTTCAAATTTTTGGTTGCATTCGAGCTCCGTATTTCCGGAATAAAGATGATTAAATATTGGATTAATTTCTGTTACATTAATTGTAAATGCTCGTGAAGGAGCAAATTTAATATGTTCATTTTCATAGGTAAATCCCATATCACACTGCTCAACTAGTTTATTCCAATCTCTATCATCCTCTTGACAAATTTTTAACTGGAGTCTGTCATTAATTACCCAAGCTATATCTGTCCAATCAGTAGAAATTTCCGAACAACGACTAATTTTTTCATCAGAATGGTAAAAAATTAAATTTGGTCCCATTTTAAGAATTGATCGAACATAATCAAGCTTCCTATTGGTTGACAACTGCACAGTATATTTATCGGGAGTATTGCTAATAGAATTCAAATGCCGGTGGATAGTGACATATGGACTGGAATAATCGCTGATAATAGTTTTTCTCTCATCAAGTGAAATGTGTAATATATTATTTGTCCCAAGAATTCCTCCTAATGTCGTGTACTTTTCTTCAAATTCTGTTATTGGGGCTCCATCCTTTAAGAAGTTAAAAAATCGTGGAATAATCTCTTGCGGATATTAAATAGATCAGCATCAAGATTGTCGAATTTAAACTCCATAGGTCGATTTCTAGCGACATTGACTTTAATTTTTAATTCTCTCTTCATATAAATGATGCCAAAATTATGATCGACTATTTCTGATAGTTTTAATTTTGTGCTGTATGGTTTGTCGTGGTTAGGGATGGGTTCGGTCGGTCACAGCAGTCATCGGTCGGTCATTATCGGATTCCCTTATGTCAAGAAAATCCCGGGCTAAGGATCTACAAAAATTAGGCTCGGAGCCAATAAAAATTGCAGGA